CTTTGGAAAACTGACTAGTTAACTTTTTCTTTCAACTTTCATAACAGGTAGTAGATAACAGAAAACATTTTATATAATAGGTAGTCAAGATATTGGTTGAACTAAATTGGATCTTCTTGAGGATTAATCTGTCATGAATGGATGGGGTAATTCAATGTGATAACTTGGGAAATTTCTACGGAATTTTGGAGTGCCTTGTAGACTACTAATATGTGCTAAATCACCACTGGGCTCTGTCTTTGTCGTCAGTGACCTGATGCCTAAGAAAAGTGTTTGAATAGATAAAAAGGAACTAAAGATTAATGTCTTCTTTCAATTGTGCTTTTCACAAGCAGTAGTAGCTCATGTGAGATATCTAACTAACATATGGTATTATAAAGGAAAAATTAAATACCAAAAGAAACACGACCATGAACCACTGTCAGTTGATGATCCAAAATGCAATTAGACACAAGTTATTTATGATTACCTTAAAATTTTTTATGCTTTAATATAACCCCCTGGTAAACCTAATTTATGTTCCATTCTACATTAACTCTATTGTAGAAATTACACCTTAGGTAAAAATGTAAGGGATTTTTGTATCTTTGTACTTTTAAATGATTTAGTCTTAAATTTTTAAATGTCATAGTTATACTCACACTATTACCATAAAACTCAATTAGACAATCATTGAGTGCATTTATTCATGAAGTATATTACAAGAGTGTTTGCTCTGGTCCCCAAATCTATTTTGGTACCTCATTTGTGTTCTGATCTTTGGAACCTCCCCAACCTGTAAGTGTAGGGTGTGCCCCAGTTCAGAAGTAAGAGCATAGACTCTCTAGCCAGATTGCCTGAGTTCAGATCCTGGTGCCATCTCTTTCTTTCTGAGTAATCAGCTGGGCTGATTAATTATACCTTCTCTGCCTCCAGGCTCCGAAATATTATTACCTGCCACAAAGGACTATTATAAAGGTTGTGAGTTAATATTGGAGAGGCATACAGAGCCTGACATATATCTGAATATGTGTTTGTGATTATAAACTGGATAAATTATACCTCATTTACTGGCTTCCAAGAACTGTGGTGTAGTAGGTGTTTGTTCGATTTGTTATGATTATATTTTGCATTTGTTAGCATGTCGTAGGATCATTTCACAAGGAAGATAGTTTTTGCCTGTTTATTTTACTACTTTTGAGAAGGTATCCATCAGAGTCAGAAAGTAGCCATAACAATATTTTTCTTTAGTTTGATAACCAAATATTACTGTTATAAAAATGCTGTTACTGGAAGTTTTTGGCAGTATAACAAGGCAGAACAAAGAACAAACAACAACAAAAACATAAGAGACATACACATTGGGGAGGAAGAAATAAAATGATTTCTCGTTGCAGACGATGTGGTTGTATGACATGGATCATAGCTTTATATCCCTCATGGTTCTTAACTTTTCCTGTCTGACTTTTTTCACTTAGGTAACGGATGATTTGACTTGGGTGGTAGGCACACACTGCAATATGCAGATCATGTATCATAGAAATATACATTTGAAAGCTATATAATCTTATTAACCAATCTCACCCCAATAAATTTAATAAAAATAAGTAAATCAAATTTGTGCCCCCTAAAATGGGTCATAAACCAATATGTAAAATATAAAGCTATAAAACGTCTAGAAGAAAACATAGAAAACTTATGTGACTTTTGGTTAGGTAAAGACTTTTTTTAGATACCACAGCTAAATAAAGTACAATCCATCAAAGAAAAAAATTGATACAGTGGGCTTAATTAAAGTTAGAAACTTCTCCTTTTTAAAGGACATTGTTAACAGAATGAAAAGACAAGCCACAAACTGGAAGAAAGTATTTACAAATCACATATCAATCAAGGAAAAATACCTAGAAAATATAGAGAACACACAAATCTCAAGAATAAGAAAACAAACTGAACAATGAAAGAAAAAAAGGACACAAGCTTTGAATGCTTTACCAAAGTAGATGGAAAAGTGAATTTTACTCTGTGCAAATTAAAAATAAATTTAGAAAAGAATACAAACATTCAGAACAAATTACTCATCTGAGTCTGAAGTACAAAAAAGTCAATCCTTTTCTGAGTTATCATATTGTATTGCAGTATTTTAAAGCTATGCCAATAAGCATTTTCAATGTTCTGTATAGCACTCAAAAGATGGACCTGTTCTGCTTAGATGTTCAGATCTAAATAGCATTCAGAAAATAGATCTGTTCTTGCTTAATGTTCAGATCCAATGACTGTACCTTATTTTGCTTGTAGCATTTATTTTGAATGTCTAGTTTCTTTCCTAATCTGAAAGGCTTCTGCAGTGTTTTTATTTTATTTTAGCATCAAATTCCACAAGTCAGTTTTCAGCAAATAACCATTCCCGAAACCACTTTTGCCACTACTTTAACTTAGTATTTTTCTTTGCATGCCTCTCATTTATTTTCCATCAGCTATTGTTTTATTTGGTTTCTTTCTACCCATTTTACTGTCTCTTGTTTTTAAAGCACTGTGACTGTGAATGGCTGGCTTCTGTGGGAGAAGGAAGGAGTGTGAGTGCTGGAGGCAGATGGGGCTTGTGGGTGGGTCGCGGTGACTCATTTTTTTTTTTTAAGGTGTTGATTTTTGATGTAGAAATGTTAAGGACCCCTAAAGAAAATTTTTGTTTGTATTAAAGATCCAAGATTTTAACCTTGGAAAAAATCTTTTGAAGCTCCTTTGACCTGTCTTCCTTTTTCATAACCTTACTAAATCTTCTGTCTTTCCCTTCCATTTTATTTGATATATGTCTCATTCACAAATGGGAGTTCTGGTGCCACTCTCATTAGATGAGGCTGACTCTGCACCAGACAGCTTCTGAAGAGTCTGCATTATTTCTATGTGCTGCACTTTGGTTTCACATTCAGTTGCCTAGGTGTCCAGTGTTCTTCTTTTTATATTTTGATGGGTTCCTGGATTATAAAACTAATCAATGCTCATAATAGAAACTATGAAAAATATAGAGGGCATAAAGAAGGAAAAAATAATTCATAATCCTCTTACAGAGCTATTATTACAGTTTGCATTTTGGTGTGTAACTTTCCAGACATTTTGTATTCACTTACATATATATAATGTAGATCCTATATATTATAATTTATACCTTGTATTTTAATATATATTCTACACATTATTTGTATATTCTAATATTTTTACTTACCATAGCTTGAATTTACCCCCATTGTTAAATATTCTTATACAGTAGTTTTTAATGGTTTTACATAATATGCCATTCTTTGAATCTGTTTAGCTATCCATTTTCTTTTTGATTAATAGTTAAGCATTTTCTATTTCTGTCATAAAGAAGTGTACATCAGTGGACACAGTTACAAATAAGTCTGCCACATGTATAGGAATTTTCTCAGGGTAAATTTTTAGGAATAGAGTTACTGGGTCAAAAAGTGGGCATAGTCTTAGGGGGTTAAGTCTCCTAGAAAGTTTACACTTCTCCTCAGCATCTAAGAATGAGTGTCATTTCTCTACATCTTCAATCAGCATTTTGAAATATTTTTGGCCACTGGTTTATCAAAAATCTGGAACTGTATAGTTGGCGAAATGGGCATTTACTTATTTACCTGCCTGTGTTTATTGCCTAATTTTACATCGTAATGTTTTTTGATATAAATTGTTTGTTTTAAATTGACCACTAAGAGATGGTTTATAAAAATGTTAATCTTTCATCTGTTACACACTGTACATGTTTTTAAACATGTTAGCATCATCTCTTAAGTTTTTTGTAGGTATGTTAACATTTTCATTTTAATTGTGAGTGGGATCCATTTTACCATTATGTTTTCCAGATGTCGAATATGATTATAAAGGAAGCTTTTGGTTTTCAAAATAAGTTTGCATCTTGACACCTTATGAAATTATATTATTACAATAATTAGTTGACTCTATGGAGGTTTTTTGGTTGACAAACATAACATCTGCCAGTAGTGATAATTGTGTATCTTATTTTATGCAGTTATGCCTTCTTACTTTGTGAAATCTCACTGTGTGAATGAGGATTTTCAGCAAGTCTACTAGTAGTAGTGGGAATAGTTGATAACCTTATCTTTTCCTGGTGTCCATGGGAATGCCTGTAAGCACAAAGTTGCCAGTTCTTATGAAGTATATATTATTCATGTTAAACAAGTACACTTATATTTTTAGTTTGCAGTTATTTTTATGAGAAATGGATTCGAATTTTAATTAAAGCCCTTGGGACATCTATGGAGATGCTGATAATTTTTTCCATTGAGCCATCCTTGCATTCTCAAAGTAAATTATAAACTAATGATTTAGTGTTCTTATAGTATAATGCTTAGTGCATTTTGTTCATTTTTCTTTCATGTTTTGTTTATATGTAAATGAATTTAAGACTTATCTGAACTTCATTTTCATGACTTTATTGTCAGTTTTTGGTATCAGGGTCACACTGTCTTGGTATTAGGCATTTCTGAGCTTTGGACGAATTTGTACCTGGTTATATTCTCTTTCTTAGTTATAATGTTTTATACTTTTACTTTCCATTTTTCTCAAATTATACTTTCTATGGCCATGCTAGATATTAATTAATTATAAAATATAACTCTGGATTAATTCCCAATCTTAACTATTTTTAAAATCTCATAGTTATTACTTATTGCTGCTTCCTCTGCATCTGCTTCTGTGACCTTAGTTAACTTGCTTTAATGTTGAAATTTAACAGAGAGCATTAGCCCCACTTCCCACCTCTGCAGACTCACTTCAGTTTCCAGTAATTACATGATCCCTTTCTTGCTTAAAAACAGTGCAGTTTACTCTTTATAAAACCACTTCCGGCAGAACTGCAAATTCAAAAGTTAGTGGTAAGTACAGAGGGAAAATCCCTATCATTTCTTCATTTCCTCTTTGAATACTAAGTTATTAAAACCAAAATATACTTATATGGCAATACTGAGGTGTCATCTTTTGGGGGCTTTGTGTTTTGTTTGCAGATGTCGCCGTGGTGGAGATGAGTGACGCCTTCCGGCAGCCATCCTTGTTTTACCACCTTGGAGTGAGAGAAAGTTTCAGCACGGCCAACAACATCATCCTCTACTGTGATACTGACTCAGACTCTCAGCAGTCACTGAAGGTACCGCATTTATTTACTAAATAGTGACTTTAGGCACCAGAATTTTAAGGCTACCTCTCTGTCATCCAAAAATATTTAAGGAGATTTTGTTTGTGAAAGGATGTTCTTGTCAGTCTGATAATTGTGCAACAATTACTAGTTAAATTATAAGGTTAATCTGGAATTCAGTGTAGAAATTTGATGGTACCCAGGTAGGAAAAAACTGAAGTCCAATTAGAGTAACACCTGAGGAGACTGTGTTTAACAGGAAGTCAGTACACACACAGGAGGAAGAAGAGATTATATAAGTATGGTCAGGCCGCCTCCTTATCACCATTGGGGGTTTCGTTGGGTACACCTGTCTCTACCTAGAAATTCCCTGCTTCCTACTGAAACTACTCTAAGTTGAAATTCTCTTGAGTATCCCCAGAAAATGCCATCCTCTTTCGCAGGGATATGATTTCAATTAAGATGAGGAAGGGGAAATAAAAACTCACTGTGTTCATCTACAAAAGTCAGCATATTCTAAGTCATTCTCTCCATTAGAGAAACTTAAATAATATGAGGGCATTTCCTCCATCCAGAAAATTGCCTAAAATGCTTTTGCAAGGCCAAGTAATTTTACACTGTGTGATTCTTTGAAAAGCATCTAACAGTTCAGTGAAACTCATGCTGAGTATGACTTTATTCATTTCCTTTGTGAAACTTCCGGCTAGCTTTATGTGCTTTTTCTCGTCTTCATCTTTCAGTTCTGAAATTAACAGCTTTGGGATGTGGAACTTAGAGCCACATTTCTAATAGCTTCGTAATTGTTATATGAAGATCTCTAACCCCAAATCTACATGAAAATCACTAATAGGATTTTGCTTTTATCTTACTTAGTACCTAAAGTTTGTATGACTTGGTCTGAAAAATCTGCATTTCCTTCTAGCAGATATTTACTGCATGGCAGGCATTGTGCGGGCATCGATAGGCTAGCCCTTTCCAGAGTACTCTGGAGAATATTGCAAGATTTTCTCGTACTCTGTCTAAATCTGCTTTCTACCTGGAGCAGATCTTTAAGAACCCTCCAGATTTTCTTCTTTAATTAATGCATTATAAAGTTTGTGTTGGTGTATTTTAAATTGGATATTTTGACTTGCAACTGTTAGCAGTTGATGGAGTGAGATTATTTTAGTTTGTCTTTTTATTCTAATCTACTTTTTGCATTAAGTTTATTTTAAACAGGCAATTTGTGTTGGACATTTTTCACTCTGCATTATTTTTATTCTTGCCCTATTGGTATCTGATGATTTAATTTTATGACCATTGTCTCCTAGGGAAATTTTTCTTAAGTGAGTTAAAATTACATTTGAGAGAAAGAGATAACTACTCTTAGGGATATTAAGGAAACAATCCCATACACAATTGCTACAAAAAGAATAAAATACCTAGGAATAATACTAACCAAGTTTGTAAAAGACCTGTACATGGAAAATTATAAGACACTGAAGAAAGAAATTGAAGAAGATACAAGTAAAGAACATGGAAGCACATACCATGTTCATGGATGGGAAAAATTAACATCATTATAAAATGTCCATACTACTCAAAGCAATCTATAGATTCCTATCAAGATTCCAGTGATGTATTTCAAAGAAGTAAAACAAATATTCCAAAATTTTGCATGAAACCATAAAAGGCTCCACATAACAACAGTGACCCTGAGAAAGAAGAACAAAGTTGGAGGAGTCATGCTGCCTAATATCCAACTGTGCTACAAGGCCATAGTAATCTAAACAGCATGGTACTGTCATAAAAGCAGACACATAAATCAACAGAACAGAGAGCCTAGAAATAAACCCACACCTTTATATAAATTAATATTTGATAGAAGCAAGCACATACAATGGGCTAAAGATAGTTTATTCAATAAATGGTGATTAAAATATTGGACAGATATGTACAGAAAAATGAAATTAGACCACCTACATACACCAGGCACAAGAACAAATTAAAAATGGGTCAAAGAATTAAATGCTAGATCCAAAACCATAAAATCTAGAAGAAAACACAGGCAGTAAAATCTTGGATATTGCTCATAGAATTTTTTTATCAGATATATCTCCCCAGACATGGGAAACAAAAGAAAAAATAAGCAAATGGGACTATATCAAACTAAAAAGTTTTTACACAACTAAAGAAGACAACAAATTGAAAAGACAACCCACTGATAGGAGAACATAATCTCCAATACATATGATAAGGCGTTAATATCCAAAATTTGAAAAGTGCTTACAAAACTGAACACCGAAAAAACAAACAACCCAATTAAAAATGGGTAAAGGACCTGAATAGACACTTATCCAAAGAGGATATACAGATAGCCAATAGATATATGAAAAGATGCTTGACATCACTAATCATCAGAGAAATACGAATTCAAACCACAATGAGATACCACCTTACACCTGTTAGAGTGGCTCTCATCAATACATCAACAAACCACAAGTGCTGGTGAGAGCATGGGGAAAGGGGAACCCTTTCGTACTGTTGATGAGAAGGCAGACTGGTGCAGCCACTGTGGAATGCAGTGTAAAGATACCTCAAAAATTAAAAATGAATCTGCCTTTCGACCCAGCTATCCTGTTTCTGGAAATATATCTGAAGAAACCCAAAACTCTAATTCAAAAGAATATAAGCACTCCTATGTTCATTGCAGCATTATTTACAATTGCCAAGATATGGAAGCAGCCCAAGTGTCCAAAAATAGATGGGTGGATAAAACAATGAGATGTTTACACAGTGGAATTCTACTTGGCCATAAAAAAGAAGAAAATTTTGCAATAGTAGAGATGGACCTGGAGAACACTGTGCTAAGTAAAATAAGCCAGTCAAAGAAAGACAAATACTGAATGATTTCACTCATATGTAGAATCTAATGAACAAATTCAACTAATAAGCAAAACAGAGACAGACTCATAGATGAAGAGCAGATGACAGCTAGTGAGGGTGAATAGGAGGTGGAGGGATTGAACAAAAACGAAAAAGAACTCATGGACATGGATAGCAGTGTGGTAATTGCTGGGGGAAGGAGGTCTAAGGGGACTAAATGGTAATGGAAAAAATACAATGAAGATTAAACTTTAATAAAGTAAAATAAAATTTCTCTTTTCAGTCTAAAAAAATAAATAAAAGCTAATCTTATCAGAAATTTGTATGGGACAACTAAACTGATTTATTACATTGCTTTCAGCCAGCCTATTGCTTTCAGCAATAACATAGAAATGTTATTGCTATTTGCATAAAATAGTTCTTTAAAGAGATTACTCTATCTAAAAAATACTTATTTATCTCATAAATAATAGTGCTTGTTATTGAGCACTCACTATGGGCTAAGTAATAAGTGCTTTACCTGAATACATTTTCACATTAAATTCTTAAAACATCCCTGTTGGGTATATATTCTGTCACCATTTTATAGAATTGCAGACTGAGGCTCAAATACAGTCATTTGCCCAAGGTGATGTAGCTAGTACAATGTGGGACCAGGTCTGCCTGGCTCCAAAGTCCATCCTCCTTAACCGCTCAACTTCATCGCAGTTACTTCCGGTTAGAAGGCTATCAGACATTCCTGCTAAGTGCGTTTATTTCAGAAAGCCCATCAGTGCTCCTCCTGAGTCGTTCCTGCAAATGGCCATTTTACAGGGAACAACCGTAAAAAGGAAAACCACTGTGAAATAAGGCAGAACAAGAGATATTTAGAAATAATATATTGTGCATGGATTCACCAAATAAAATAAAAAATGAAACATGTCCACTTTCACAGAACAAAGGCAGAATGAGAATGCCGTTCTTGTCACATACCTAGCTTCACTCGGGGTGATTCTTTGGACATCTAGAAAGTACATCCGTACCACATACATTTTCATCTAATGCTCTTTGTTGAACAGAACAATTTCTCTTTGGCAGCAAATTCTCAGGAAGAAATCATTGGGAAAATTTTTTTTTAACTTTAAGCTTCTGAAAAATAATTTATGGGAACCATAAAAGTACTTAAAATTTATATCTGAGTTTATATGAAAAGATAATTTAGACTGTAATCATACCTCACTGAATGACGGGAAATGATCTGAGGAATGTGCTGTTAGGCGATATCACTGTTGTATGAACACATTACTGTGTCAAATACTGTAGACAGTTGTTAACACAGTGGTATGTGTATAACTAAACATTGAAAGGGTCTTTCTGCACTAAGATAGACCTTATTTCCATTTTCTCCATTACAGAATAAATGGAGTTTTTCTACAGATTTATATGCTTATCAGTGACACAGTGTGTGTTGAAACAATGATTATGTGAGATTATTCTTTGTTGAAGACATTTATTTGTATTTTTCTCTTTAATCATTGCTTGAATGTTGCTGTACAGATGAATTTTCCAGAAATCTATCAGCATGCTTCCCCCTTCACTGTCTCACTGAATATAGCACATACATGTATGATGGCTGACACTCTCAGTGCATCTGGTATTTTTTTATTGGGATCTGACTAGCATGAAGTTTTAGTTGCACAAACCAACATTTTTTAATTAGGCATTTAAAAATAAATTTTTAACAGTATGGTGGTTTTTCAAAAAATTAAAAATAGAATCTCTAAATAATTCAGCAATTCCACTACATATTGAATATATATCCAAAAGAATTGAAAGCAGGGTCTCAAAGAGGTGTTTTGTACACCTGTGTTCATAGCAGTGTTATTCACGATAGCCAAAACTGTCTGAATGTTCGTCATGGCTGAATGGATAAACAAAAATTATCATATACACACAGCACGATGTTGTTCAGCCTTAAGTTCTGGTACTTGCTACAACATAAATGAGCCATAGTTGCTCATTCAGATAGTTCCACGGTGCATGACGTCTTATCTGCAGGTACAGAGTTACCCAATATTCTTGAGAGTTTATGGACAGTAAGTCTGTTTTTCTAGTATTCCTTCATATCCACTTCATGTAAGTGGTTCTAATGTCCAGTATTGTAAATT